TCCTTAGGGCTGTCACCTGCATTCTGAAAATCCTGCTTTTCGTCACTCAGGGTATCAGGGAGGAGGGAAGCTGGACTGACCACTGAGTCTGTTTGTCTTGCTGTCCACATGGACGCATCATTCTAGAAAGAAAGCCAGGAAATGTAGTTGGTTGCTGGTCACTCTAGTCTCCCTGGCATGACTGGAACTCTGCTAATACAACAGGAGAGAGGAGTAATTATCAATGTCTGCCAGACACACTGCTAGCAATAACTCTGTATCTGCCCTTAAGAGACACAAAGTACCTATCAGAGTGGACAGAAAGGAATTTTGCATATGACTGTTTCCCTATTTTATTTACTGCGTCCAGAGTTCTAGTTGCCTAGTATACTCTTGCTCTCTCCATGATGGTTAGCCATCTAGGGCCACTATGCAGAAAGGTCTTTGGTGGCTATGGAGTAAGTGTTCCTGAATCCTAGAAATAAACTGTTTGGTTGTGGGATAGGGTACTAGGAAGAGAGAGTGTGAGGTAGCTACTTTAGGCCACTTCTGTATGTAACTATTCTATAAGTGCCCACTTCATTAGCTCAGATGTCTTCCCTGTCAGGAGATCTTCCTTGATATCAAGCCAGTTGAGATTAATTATTACCTGCTCCCAATTTCCATAGGATTTTTTAATGATAACCTTTGGAGATATAATTCACATACTGTATGAGTTATAGTTGAATTATGACATTAGGTCTAGTTTCTGAATATTCAGAGTTGTACAAAATCACAGGACCAAATTTTAAATATTTCTTTCATCTCAAAAACATCTGCATAGTCCCACATGTACGTCAACCACTAATGTATGTTTTGTATGGAGTGTCCTGTCTGCACATGTCAGGTGGATGATCCAGTGTCCCCTTACAGTCTCTTTCCCATACCTTTGCTGCTCCTTCATCTCCAGACTGAGTTCCTACTTAGCCAGATCCATTCTGTTTTCCTGATCCCAAACATTACATGGTACCCTGCTCTTCTGTGTTTGTTGATAGAAAGGAGAGGGACACGAAGGTGGTAAGCCATTAGGCAACTAATTTTGAGATACATTTTCTTAATCTACATGAGTTGATTGCATCATTGCCTGTAGAACAATGGATGCATTGCCTGACCAGGCATATTTAGAGTACACAGGCGTCTCCAGTCTGCCCGCTCTTCCTTTCAGGTCTTCTCCACCCCTGAGTCAGTCCGACGGGAAATGCATGTGGCAGAAGAGAAAACACTTGATTATCCCTAATGTCTCTCAGCATTCACAAGTGAAAAGGATGAGGCCCCTGGCATTAGTAGTGGGATTTAAATGGATTTAGGAACTGAGGCTGAAACAGGAGCCTAATTAGAAGATTCCAGGGTCACCATGTCAGTCCTCACCTGTCCACCAACAGACAGCCTGGCCACAGCTCTCACTTCAAAGACTCCGCCTGTTGGTCTCATTCGTATTGCTTGCCCCTCCACTCTTGAGGGAAAAGTTGGCTGTGCCTCATAGCTTAATGTACCTCCAGCTGGGTACAGATTGTGGGCAAAGGTTCAGCTCGTATCTGGCCTCAGAGAAAAGCTACTAAAAACACAGAGCATGAGATTAATTATGTCCTTTTAAAGGGAAAAATATTTTTAAAAAGAAAAAAATCATGTTGGATAGAAAGTTTGTTCTCTCTCTCTCTCTCTCTCTCTCTCTCTCTCTCTCTCTCTCTCTCTGTGTGTGTGTGTGTGTGTGTGTGTACACAGAAGTGTGGAGGCCACAGGACAGCCTTGGATGTCATTCTTTGGCTGCCATCGAGTGTTTTTGAGCAGTGTCTTCATTGGCCTGAAGCCTACTGATTCAGCTAGACTGGATGCCCAGCAAGCTCCAGGGATCTGCCTTTTCCTGTTTCCCCATTGCCAGGATTACAAGTGAATGCCACCACATCCGCTTCTTCTCTTTTTCCCCCCGACCCCTTCCCGTTATCATCCCCCTCCCCTTCCTCCTCCTTCCTCCTCATAGCTCCATCATTGGCTCATAGCTCCATCATTTGCTTCATCACTGGCCATCAGTCATCTTCATGGCCTAGTCATTCTCTTCGTCTTTGAACTTGGATTCTGTATGTTGAACTCAGGCCCTCATGCTTGCAAACACTTTACTGACTGAGCTATCCCACCAGCTCCATGTTACCTTAGTTTTAACTGCCCCCTTTAAAAATAAAAAGAAAGGACATGGATAAGTAATAAAAAAAACCCTTCCTGTTCCTGTAGGTGAGATCTTATAATGATTCTTTTCTGTCTATGCTTAGGACACAAGTCCCTGAACACTTACTAAGCTGAACACTCTTCTTGGCTAGTCCCATTTAGCAGGATTACATGGCTAGTTCACATCTTTAACCTGCTTCATTTCCCATATGGGATGAGTCCTGTACACTTGGCACCTAGAGCGGGTAACGTCTAAAGCTGTCTGGGGAAGCTGAGGACAGGTTAGGAGCTAATGCAGTTGATCACCCAGAGTCGGTTGCCGTCCCTGCATCCCAAACTGTCCTACTTAGCATCTCTGTAGCTGTGGCATCCTAGGTCACAGAGCATTTTGTAGCAGCCCCACTGCTTCTCTTTGCCCCGGACCATCTGTGGGCATGTGTGCAGGGCTATTGCTGGATTTGGGGAGCCAGAGACAGTAGGGAAGAACACAGAGAAGAGATGGAATTTGGATGGTGAGAGTCGAAGGCTGTGTTAGTCCTTCGACTACGTGGAATAGAGTCTTATGTTCTTTGTGGACTCTAGACCATTGTTTTCATTACTTGGGCCATTATTTCAGGCGGCAACACACAAAGGTCATTCCATACGGTTGAGTTTTAATTAAGACCCGCCACCCCCACCCCTAGTTAGCTTTTGGATGAATTTGTTCTTATGTCAATAACCCATCCATATTTTGTTTCAGACATCAGTGTGACGTTAGCTCAAGAAATTTCTTAAAATAATCCAGATTTTAAATTATCACCACCAGATCCTTTTTTTTTTTTAAAAAAAAATTCATTTGTAGCAAAGAAACCCTGTTTCACCTTAAAGGTAAATAGCATCTAATTTCTAAAATGTCTCAAGATATGAAAACATGATTTTAAATAGCTTCTGTACCCTGAGAAAGAAAAAGATTGCTAAGCAACCATATATGCTTCAACCCTAAATGCCATCAGTCCATGAGGCAGGTAAGGCCAAGCCTTGTCATGGTGACTTGCTTATGGTGGGCGGCATTCTTAGAAAGCGGGAGGCCTCTGGACGTGCTACCCTGTGACACCATGTGTGCAGTAGAGAGCTTGCTCTGCATGGTCATCTTGTCTCCTATTGCGTTTAACTGGATCTTGTGTGTTTGAGTACGGCAAGCTGATGGTTCCAGTACCGTCCATACCTAAATTTAAATGGATCACACGAGAGAGCGATGTGGCCTTACAAACAAACACCACCTGTGAGGTCAAACACGTGCACAGAGACAGAAGGAAGGGAATCCTGAGGTCAGCACATGTTGACTTCACTTGACAATATAAGTGACATATTGTGAGGCTGGTCTATTCATAAGCTATGGGTGGTTTCTGCTCTTACTGGCTATTAACGGTATAATATTCTGAATTGACTATTACAAGATCACCAAGTGCTTCCTTAAGGTTCTGATGTCAGGAAACTCTATTGTAGGTCAGAATCTCATGCTCAACAGGCCTGGCATCCCAGTCACTGGGCCACTAACATGTGACTCATAGCTTACTCTGGTGGTAGTGAGTCCTTCCGTGGTCCTCTGTCTACAGGTCTCAAACTTCACTTGGACTTTTCCTTGCTAATTCTCAGAGTGGAGTGCTGACACCAGCCTGGTTCTCTGTCTTTCCTGTTGTCCCTGATCCTGCAACAAGCAAAACTCATGCCATTGGTTTTTGTTTTGATTTCTGGTGTTCACTTTCTCTTTATCCCAGATAACTTTCCCTGTATCTCTCTTCATATCTAAGGTCAAGACTTTCTGAGTGACCGTGATTGTGAATCTTATATATTCATAATACTCATCTATTACAGATTCATAATTATTCATATATATATACATATATACATATATACATTATTGGCATGCATTATAACAACAATGGTGAATAAAGTACATAAAAATATTTAATGACATGCTTCTCATTATGTTGGGTAGAAAAACAATTTAAAAATTACTATGGTTCTATTTTTTTGAAGAAACAATGTATAGTACAAAAAATAAAAAATAAATACTGAAAACAACCACGATAAATGCTACTAGTGTATGCAGCTGGACTCGAGGCTTACTTATGTACTGATATTTTATGAGGTTGGGCAGTTAATATGTTTGGCTTTAATGATAAGCACAGATTAATAAAACGCATCTAAGTCAGGGTACTTTACTCCATCCTGAAGAAAAATGTTGTAACTCCAAGTGCTTTCAACTAGCTCTCACAATAACTTCTCTATCTAGGTATTTAGAGAACACGGATGTGTGTGTGAGGCACTGAGGTCCAGCACGATGCATTTTCGACTCTGCTGTGACATAGTGTGGATGCCTTCGCAGAGAAAGGCGGCCATTGTTTCTGGTGACTATATCATAGACAGGAAATGACCTCTTGACTGTGCTGTCACTGTGGAGTCCTCATATCTTGCTTTGTGGTTTATTTCTCCACGTCCACTCTTCCCAGCACAAAGAGGATGTATTTGGGAACCACTGAAACAGCTTCTAAAGTATGGATTAGACAATACTCCTTGACCCTGCTGCCCTAATTTAGTGTGAAGCAGAATTAAACAGTAGAAATGGAGGAATTTCCTTAGAAATAGCAAAATAAGAAGGGAATTGTTTGGTTATACAGTAGACTCTGAAAGGGCCGAGGAGAGGATTGAAAGCAGCTATGAAGCACGCATGTTGTTTTTAGTGATATGTGAGCCTAGGGAGCGCAACAGCTGTGTTGTTGTTGGTTTTTTTCTTGTGCCAACTTTCTCGGTTTGATTGATATTTTTTTCCTCTCTGACAGCTCACTGTGCTGATAAATGTGTCCATGGCCGCTGCATCGCTCCAAACACCTGTCAGTGTGAGCCCGGCTGGGGTGGGACCAACTGCTCCAGTGGTGAGTGCCCATCTGCCATTGTCTGTCTCCGGGGGTTGTTGTGTGGGCCCCTTGTCTGCGGGTTACTCTAAGCCAAAGTTCCTGTCTCCATCCCAGGCAGAGGGCCTTGTGGATTGCAAATCTACCTCACCCATGCTGTTCCTCCTAGCTCCATGCATGTAGCACAGAGAGCACTGCGCTTAACAAAACTCCAGCATACATTGTGGCTGTCTTCATTATGAGAGAGTTACAAGCCTAAAATAATGTTTTCTAGGTTCTAAGAAGGCTGCACTCAAGGTCCCTACTTTCAGGATCACGACATTGGAATGATGGAATGTCACAGAATACAGTTACTGTCATACATTTTGCAGCTAAAATTTCAGTGTCCTGGCAACTTGTTGCTGCGTGCAAAATTGTGCCTTTTTCTTCACGACTTAAAAATATAAGAGGAAATGGAAATACAATACTGTATTGCACTAAATAAATAAATAGTTAAACTCATCCAAGAGAAATAATTGTTTTCCAAAAGTGAGCCAGTTCTTCTAACCTTCTAACAGCCCAATGGCGTTTTTGAGATTAGTCTGGAAGAATTTTGAGTTGCCCAGTTAAACTGACTTCTAAGAATTTTACTTGCTTTCTTTGGAATTGGGAAGATTTTTTTTTTTTTTTATTTTACTAAGAACACCTTTAGACTTAGGATTTCTTGGCTGTCCCTGAAGCTGCATCTCCTGGGGGAAGCCTTTGTGCACAAAACATTCAGTGTCAAGAGCCTGCTTACTATAACTTTGATAGGGAATATGAGAGAGGTGTGTGTGTATGTGTGTGTGTGAGAGAGAGAGGGGGAGAGGGAGAGAGAAAGAGAATAAGAGCATATAATGAATGTGTATGAGTGGGTATGTGTGTGTATGAGGGTGTGAGGGTATATGTGAATGTGTGAGTGTGTGAGTGTGTGTGTGTGAGGGTGTGAGGGCATTTGTGAATGTGTGAGCGTGCGAGAGAGTGTGTGTGTGTGTGTGTGTGTGTGTGTGAGGGTGTGAGGGCATTTGTGAATGTGTGGGAGTCTGCTCCAGTGGGTAACTGTCTTTCAGAGTTTTGTTCCACTTCTCATGGAGAGCAGGGAGGCAGGGTGGGCACTCTGTCCACATGCAATTGAGGCAGAATGTTTGGGATGTGGGATTTGGCTTGTGTCCATTTTCCTGGCTGACTGACCGCAAATATGAGACCACTTTCATTAACTTTTCTAACTTTAAACCCAGTTGTACCTAGACATTTTGAAGAAAAATATTATTGTAAAGTGGGAAAGGGGGAAATGGCTGGGTTCTTTATTTGAAATGGGTTTCTTACTCAGCTCAGGGCAGGAGGCTGTGGAATGATTTCAGCTGCTTTTTCTCCTAAAAATTGGAGACTACCTCAAGTTAAGGGCTCAGACTAGAGGGCATTTGTGCACAAAACAGAAGCCTACAAGAACTTTAGACTCTTTAAAGCTGACTTTGCCTTTGAGAAAGTAAAAGGTTGCTCTCTGTGTTAGAGTTTTCTGACTCCAATGAAGACTCCAATATTCTGAGATCATACGATCTAACAATAAAACGTGATAATTAAGCAACTTTTAGTTTATTCTCTACAATTCATGTTCGGGCTTTGTAACAAACAAAATTATAAATAAATGTGAACAGATTTCTGAAGCCTTTAAAGATGCTCCAAGAATAACATTCCTGACACTTTTTAAACCCAGAGCACAAAGAGGCTAAGAGCACACTCTGCTTTGAGAGAAGGCAGGAGCTTGGTTCTCGGAACCTGTCTTACAACTACCTGTAACTACAGCTCCAGGGGCTCTGATGCTCTCTTGTGGCTTCCATGGATATCTGCACTCAAATGCAGAAACCCCGTGGCGTGCGCTACACACACACACACACACACACACACACACACACACACATGCATGTGCATGCTCCCTTCCACCCATCGTGTTGATGTGAGAAGAGCATGCTGACTCTGAAGTCTATGTGTGAGGAAACACCAGGACATAGACTGGGGACTGGATATCCTCCGAATCCTCTGTCCTTAAATCCTTAAATACCTGGTGAGTTTGGCAGGACTGAGAAACTGGCATTAGCACATCGGTATCAAGCAAATCCCAGATGCCCTGTGTTAGTTTCCTCGTCTTCCATACATTTAGACAAAAACGAAATAAGATAGTGGCGTGTGGTAGTGATGGATTTTTGTTTTCTTTCTGCTATAGGCCCTCTTGGTGCCACACTGTACTAGGTTGTCCCAGCTCCCCGCTCTCTTCTGTCTGTGTGGATTTCTTGGTCTGTCCTTGTTTGGGTGGAGGAAGACGGTGAGAATGTCATAGGATATCCAGTCTGCATCTATGTCCCTGGTGTTTGTCACACAGACTATAGTCCACTCACGCCTGTGCACTGAGCAGAGTCCTACCATCATTCTGTCACAAAAAGGAAGAGGTTGTCGGCTGCTGGCTGTTATCAGTGGAAGCTACTCATGCAACAGGAGCTTCTTGCTGCCCTCAGGACTCTGAAGGAGGCACAGGTGCTAGAGAAGTCACTGCTGAGCTGACAGCCTGGGGCCAAGAGTCCAACCCTCCTAACCTTCTTCGGTGTCTTCCCAGTGCCCTCTACTGAAAATGCTTAGTCTTCAACCAGGGAGCAAAGGAAAAGACTCACAGCTGCTTTTGTGGGACAGGCAGTGAGGGCTGCATTTTGAACGGGGAGGCGATGCACTGGTAACTCCTGGGTTGGCTCAGTTACTGTCTTCGTGCTTCTGCACACTTGAATTCCTCTATTACAACCCAATGATTCTGTCTCCCCTCCTAATTTGACAGAGCCCCCATTTCACAAACGAGAATGTTTTCACCACCCTCTCCTAATAAGGAGAATGTTGTATCCATTGCTGCCTACTGTACACCTTTCCAAAGTTAGTCATGGCTCTGCTGTGTCCCCTGAATGCTACAGTTCACTTGAAGCACTTTATACCTAAAATAAAACAATAATCGGATAGCATGAAAATAAACATGTGGACAGGGACTCAGCAAACAGAAAATTACCAAAAGCTGCTCCTCGCCTTTCCTCAGCGATTGGCCGCATAGCCCCAGCCATGACGTCCTCCTCTCCTGTTCTTGGTTTCCATCTCTCTCACCCAGAACCTCAGCTGCTTGAGGTTTGTTAGCCACAGGAATGGCTCAAGTCTTCATTGCTGAAAGGGTGGTGCTCCCTTTTGTCCCCCACTCCCTGTTTGCGTGCTGCCGTTTTCTATTTCCCTCGCCACAGGCATGGGTACACGATATAGGTTCTTCCCATTCCCCGTGTTCCACCCAGGGAAAATGTCCTCCAGGCTCTCTGTCTAGCAGCAACCCAGTATCCCCTTTGATAATCAGAGTCAGGTGACGACAATACAGTAATAACGATCACACACACAGCTCTCATTTTCTTTCTTCTCAGAAGACGTAGGAAGCCAAGAGAGATGGACATTTTCAAATGCGAGGTTTTCAGATCTTTGCGTGAGATCCGATAGGACTGGTTACCATGTCAGTGGAGAGTGGGCTTCCCTTCTGAGAGGCAGCCAGTGTGTGTCCAGCTCCCAGTGAGGCAAGTTGAAGGATTGTTCAAAGTCAGTTTCCTCAGAAAGCAATCCTGATGTATTTGACTAGAAACTTGATTAAAGTGGGTTTTGGAAAAAGCCCACGCATATTTCTCTTTCACTGGCATCCAAATGTGTACCCCTGCCCGTATGACTGAGTGATGCTAATTCATTTACCTGCCTCCAACTTCCTTCTCCTCTTTCCTCCCCTCATCAATCTATCTGTCTAAACATCGGTCCTCTCTTCCTCCGCCCCTCCCACTGGGTGGTAGCTGCTGGAGGCAGGGCGGGAGATCCAGGTTTTATTAATATGTTTGTCTTCATCGTACTTGGCAAGTGGCTGAGATTATGAGACTGAATGAATTGTGTGAGTCTGAGAAGGTCATTCATGTGTTCACTTTGAGGACTTATTCTGAATGATTGCAGTGTGCAGAGCATTGTACTGGATGCTGGGGATAACGGAAAGCAATGATGAGTGGTTTACTGATCTCACAGAGAAAAGCTGAAATAATAGACCAAGGAAAGATATTGGGGCTGGGTAAGGTCGGCAGGATTCTGGAAGGACAAGGGCAGGCAGGGTTAAAAGTTGTGCCAGGAACAGAGAGCAGACATGAAAGACTGATCGAACACAGACTACTAGAAACTATTACTTCTAGAAACTTCTCTGAGAAGCCATAGAGAAGGAGTAAAGAAATGAAGAAGTAACTGTACACTCAAGAGAAGGCTTTGTTGACTTTCTCAGGGGCTCTGAGACAGTAGACTCAGGTGAGAAAGGAAATCAAGTAGTTGGGGAAATGATGACTCCAGATCGCAGCTAGGACTGGGACGGGATCCCAGCTCTGGGGTGTGTGTGTGTGTGTGTGTGTGTGTGTGTGTGTGTGTGTGCACCTGTGACTATAGAGAGCACTGGCTCCCTGGTGACCAGAGTTACAGGTAGCTGTAAGCCACCTGTCATGAGTGCTGAGAACTGAACCTAGGACCTTGGCAAGGATCCTGCCCTTCATTGCCCAGCTCTCTCTCCAAGCCCTCAATAGCATGCTTATGCACTTCCCAGAGTCTTTCTTTCTTTGCGTTGCAAACCCTCTACCTTCACTATGGGGTGTAACCACGCTTTTGTTTTCTGAACCTATAGGATTTTCTTTATAATTTTTAAACAACTGTCGAGACATTTATTTCTCCTTCGGCCACAAGGTACAAGTGGAAGTCCCAGATGAGCCAGCAACCAATAAACAGATACGAAAGCTTGTCCCTCAAGCTCCTTAATTTCAAGATTAAAACCAAATGGAGGGAGAACTGGAAATTAATTTTGGTCCCCAAAACTCACGAAGGGGTTTTGTTTGGTCACTAATGGCATTTCTGATATGCGCAGACAGTAAAAACGTGCCTTGAAGGCAAGGCTGGCATCAGCATTTCCAGGTGCGGCGCGA